CAAGGGGGAGAGACAAATAAGACTGACAATTTAATGTAGTAGACAGCTTTGAGAATGGTATGTACAAAGAACTATGGGAACCTTACTTAACGAGGGCCGCTTAATCCAGAATGGTATAATCTAGGGATGGTTTCCAGGTCCAGAGAATAAGTTTTACAAAAGAGTTTGCCAAGAAGAGAGTTAATGGTGGCTGAAAGGTATTCCTCTAAAAGGGATTGTCAACTAGTCCTAGAGAATGATGCCTGGTCTTTAAGGTTCCTTCCAACAGATCCTCACCTGCTTGATCCAACACAAGGAATCTGCATAGAGTAAGGCATCTTTCCAATATTGTGCCTATTTGTTAAATACTGGTTTCCCGGATTCTTATTTTTTGTGCCACAGAGCACAATTTAAGAAGAACATGCCATACTGACTAAAATGTTTCACAGACACTTTTTACTATGGTGTTGACCACAGATTCAGAATGAACAATCTGGTATAGTGAGTACTATACCATCTACTTTTAAGAAAAAGAAAAACAAAAGTTAAAGATTCCTGGAAAGCTATAAATTTAAACAAGTCAGGTATATAGCGTACTCTAAAATAATACAGTTCTTCTCCTCCTCCTTTTTTTTTTTTCACGTTTTTTCTTTTAAATGTGGGGAAAACAAAAAGGATCGAAGTCCCTTGCCTTGGTTATCTACAAGTACTACACTAGGTGGTGCTGTACGGCTGTTGGAAAGCATTTGCCAAGAAAAACAGTGTGGCGGTGCTGATGGCTGTCCCTGAGAGCAGTTCCAGGTCTGTAGGCAAGTAATGGGTATCATGATCTCACAAGTTTCAGCCTTCCAGTCAGATTAATTTTAAACTAAACCACAAGTTTAGCACATTTTAAAATGGGCTCAGTGTTTGACAATTCAATCTGATGCCACTGAAATGGACATTTCAAAGTTATCAAAATATAAATTTATTATATTCTACATTTCAACATGTTACCATTAATTTCATTTTAGGTAGTCTTGCTAATTATGTCTACTTCTAGTTATAAGCCTAGTTATGTCTACTACTTAATGAATCACTAATCGGTTTCTTCACATGGTTTCCTGAATTTTTGAATTACCATTAAGCAGGAAATACCAATCAAACTCCTTTGTCATTAGAGTACTGCAATATACTAATATAAATACATGAAGCAATACATTTAAAACACTCTATCAGTATAGTATTTCTTACATAAATAACATATCATGATTTTTCTGCATTACAGTAAAGCCAGAATTTTTATGAAAGTGCAGAATAAAAACAAAGCTGGACTTTTACAATATTTTCTTTTGAATGTTAAACATTAAAAAGGCGAACAAAAAAACAAACCTAAGAATCATTTTAGTTTTAAACTCTCAAAGTTACAAGATGTGTTTGTAATTTTTCAGCTTATCTTTCCAGTTCTGCTTCTAGAATTTCCCCCCATGTATCTACATCCATTGGGTACATGATTTTTTCTGGTAGGCTAAGAGGAGAACATATGTTGCTGTATCTGCCACTTAGCCATTCATGTTTCACTTTACTCTTCTGGTAATTCCTCAGTAGTATTACCTGAAAGAGGTAAATCATCATTGTTAAAAAATGGAGTAGGTGGTTAGTCAGTGAGTTTGTTTAAAACTAGAGAAGCTGAATGACAGGGCTGAAAAGAAGATTAAATATTTACTTTGATATACACATCTACTATTACATTTGTGGTAAGCATATGTGCGTGGGTGGGTGGGTGTGGGTGTGGGTGTACGTATATGTGTATACACACAAAGTGAGCCACAGAGTTTGCTGTGAGTTGTGGAAAAGGTGGAATGAAGTAGCTAACAGAGGAATATGCCTGAATTTAGTATTTAAAAAACGTAAAAGGATGGATGGGATGATGTGGTTTGCAGGAAAATACTAATTCAACTTCAAGGCCAAAAGCCAACACACTCTGTATGTCACTCTATATATGAAATCCTACCTCCTCTGTGCAGAAGGCAGAGTTGGCTCAAACCTATCACCATATTGTCAAGAACACCACAGACTTCAAAGACTAAACTTACTCTCCAGGAATATCCACTTTCTAGATCATCGTCTACTTCTCTTTGGCACACAGCTCTTAAGGTCAAGCAATGAGGTTTCCATAAGGAGTCACTGTTTCTTACTGTGTAATTCCAGCTCCTGCAAGTTATGGAAGCCCTGCACAAACTCCGAATGTCCAGCTGACTGAAAATTTTAAAAGTGACTTCTGGAGGCAACAGTTCAACAAAGGTCTTTTGACTCTCTTTCTTTTCCTTCTCAGCATCCACAGAATTCAGTTTTATGCCAGAAACTCTTGAATTATTGTTCCTCTTGAGGCTTTTCTGCATAGCTTGATGTCTTAGCAAATTATCCACATATGTAACCTAAAAGGCAAAGTTTAAACACGCTCAGTCTCTTCAGATCAGACTATAGAACCTACTCTGAGCCAGGTATTTTCTGGGTATGATTACAAGAACCTTAACTTTCATGACTTGAGGTTTTCAATCTGTAAAATGGGGCCAATGATGCTCCTTTCCTGTGTGTTCTTACAAGGATTAACAGGGATAATGTGTAAACCATCTAGCTTCATCTAAATTGCACATAGGAGACACTCAACACATGTTACTTCCCTTTAAAAAAATTTTTTTTCTGGGGCGCCTGGGTGGCTCAGTCGGTTGAGCGGCCGACTTCGGCTCAGGTCACGATCTCACACTCCGTGAGTTCAAGCCCCGCGTTGGGCTCTGTGCTGACCGCTCAGAGCCTGGAGCCTGTTTCAGATTCTGTGTCTCCCTCTCTCTCTGACCCTCCCCCGTTCATGCTCTCTCTCTCAAAAATAAATAAACGTTAAAAAAAAAAATTAAAAAAAAAATTTTTTTTAAATTTTTTAGAGAGAGAGAGAAAACAGAGTGTGAGTAGGGGAGGGGCAGAGAGAGAGGGAGACACAGAATCAGAAGTAGGCTCCAGGCTCTAGCTGCCAGCATACAGCCCGATGTGGGCTCGAACCCACAAACCAGGAGATCGTGACCTGAGCCGAAGTTGTACGCTTAACCGACTGAGCCATGCAGGCGCTCCCTACTTCTCTTCTTTTTAAATGTTTTTGGTAAATGGGTTTGTTTCTAAACATTTATGTTTCTGCTCCCAAAGAACATTATCTAAAAAAGTGAAATGATACCTCACAAACTATACTTTGAGTTTAGTAGTAGAAATAACTATTGTGAAACACGTTTGATTCCACGCATTTGCTGAAAATACTTTTGAAAATGTGTATGGTTCAATCTCTTGAACTCCTAAATACTTGTCTGTGGGAATTGATGCCTTGTCATTAAGTTCTTCATCTACAGTTTGTGACTTAACCACAACCCTGATGGACTTTTGTAGTTTATATGATAATTGTTATCTACTTGTACCTAATGGGTAGGTGCTCACAGTTGACACAGTGGAAAAGAGGTTGAAGTCCAGGTTATAACAACACAAAGCCTCAAATTTTCAATTCAGTTATTAGATCAGTGTTTTAGAAATGGCCTCTTGAAGGTATCCTACATGCATAATTATGAATGAAGAACACTAGGTATTGAGGCCATAAAGCAACAGTAACCAGCAATTATAAACAATGTTTATAACTCAGTTAGGTATAGCATATAATTACAGACTGAAAGTCCAGTTTCGGCTAATTTACCTAAAGTGCATGGTCTAGGCTCCAAAATCAGTTGAAAGCATGAGCTATTTTTGCATATAAAGACAGCTCAGATTACTCAAAATCAGTTTACTCCATGTTGCACTTCCTTTTATAATGGGGGGTGGGTTACAGTGCAGGAAGAAGGGTTTGCTAAATACTTCTTTTTAACTCAGCTAATGATTCCCCTTTCTAAACATGCTACTTACCTATGTTTCTGCACTTCTCAAGGCCACAATTGCTCCCATTCGTTTGATTGTTTATGATCCAAATTAGCTATAGTAAGAATTTTAATGTCTGTGTTCAACAGACATTAGGACTTCCTCTCGAAGTTTTGGGGAAGTAAAAAGCAAACTGATAGAAACAAGTTCATGAGTCAAGAGCAAATTTTTATCAGGAGCTCGTCTCTCTCAATATCAATACAAACCAAAGCCGAACTACTGTATTTCTGGGGGAAAAAAAAATCTCATATTAATGTGCAGAACGTTACTGTTGCATTTAAACATTTGTTACTTCTCCCAGAATCTCATTGGGGAATAAAACGCGTCCTCTCGTTACAGTTCTTTCCCAGGAGGCAAACGAATTTTTGAGTTTAACAGCTGGGGGGTGCCTCGGTGAGGTTCCTAAATTTCCGCTAGGCACCTTCTTCTAAGGCCAGTTTTGCCTGGATACCTGGAAAACTATCCCTCTTCTGCCCCTTCTTTATGAACCAAACTTTGCTGAATTATCTCTCGAGTTAGGGAAGAGCTCGCCCCCCCTTTCAGGTGTCACAGGAAGGGAGGGATCGAGAGGCGGCGCAGACACACCCCGCAGGTAACTCCACATCCCATCTGAGTGCCCTCCTTGAGGATCTCGCGCAGTCTGCATCTGCCCGAGTCCAAAGAACACGGAGCAATGACAAAAAAGCGACAATAACAACCGTCAGCACTGACTGTCACCGCAGCTCCAGGGGACTGAGCTGAGGCTGCGTCGTCCAGACGTCAGCGGGAACTCCTACCTCCAGGGCCGCGGTCCCTTCTCCGGCAAATTAAATCCTTCGGAATTCGAATCCTTCGCCATAGTCCCTCCAGTTCCGCCCACTGTAGTCCCGCCTTGCTGACTCGGACTTCGCACAGGCGTAGAGAGGAGCGCGCGTTGCCTTTTGGGAGTGGTAGTTTTATCTGGGCGTTTCAACTCAGCAAGAGAGGAGAAGGAGGGCGCCACGGACTACAAGGCCCGACATCCCCTGTGACGGGTGGGCGGTGAGAAAGCGGGGTGGTGGGGTGGTTAGCCGGGGCTTTTAAAAAATAATTTTGAGGCGGAGTGTTGGAGGAATCCCGGAGCGCGTCACTGGCCGGAGAGGAGAGGCGGGGCTCTTGCTGCGGCGCCAGACCTCTTGCCGTGCCAGGCCTGGACACCCCCGAGCGGAGCTTGTGCTCCCTCTCCCCCTGCATTTTTCCGAGGGCCTGCCTAGGCCCTGTGCGTGTCCATGGAAGGCGGAAACGGCTGCGGGGACCGTCTCCTTGCCAAGGGGTGTAGTCTTCGCCGCCATGTCCGGGGGCTTCGAGCTGCAACCGCAGGACGGCGGCCCCCGGGTGGCCCTGGCCCCCGGGGAGACGGTGATCGGCCGCGGGCCGCTGCTGCGAGTAAGTGTGGCAGGGGGCTCGGCCGGGCCCGGAGAGCCGTGCGAGGTCCTGGCTGTCTCCTGAAGCCCCGTTTCTGGCTTCCCTACCACCCGGCCCTGCCTGTCTGGATTTTAGAAGCTAGGGAGCAGCACGGTTTTCAGTCAACTTTAAACAGCTCACAAACGTTTTCTAGTGGTGCCCTTAATAAGCACTGATTTGTATGATCATTATAATTTTATCCAGGGGTCAGCAAACTATGGCCCTGGGTCCAAATCCAGGCTGTTTTTGTATGGAGCCATGTACTAAGGATGGTTCTTAAGTTTTAAAATGTGAAATGTAAACAAACAAACAAAAAACCTGTTAGCCTTTTAGGAAGAACAATTGGCCCAAGAGTTGAGGATATTGCCTCTTGGCCTGACAAGCCACAGTATTAAAGTAGAATTTGGCCCTTTACAGGAAAAGTTTGCCAACCCCTGATTTTCTCTTTCCTAGAATGATTTCTTTTAAGCTTTTGGCCTCTTGTGGGACTGTATGGGCCTTACTTCTATGGAATAGTCTTTTTCAGTAATATCAGCAGCTAACTCTTAAAGTAGAGTGTAGTGTTCCGGACATTGATCTAAGGACTTTACATGCCCCAACTTTTTAATCACTTCAAAATCCTAGGAATTAGGTGCTCTTATTATCTTCATTGTTCAGAAGAGAAAATTGAGCCATAGAGCGGTTATTTAAAGGGTGCAAATAAGTTTTTGGACATGTAGTGCCACTAAGCTATATATACTCCACCCTCTTTGGGATGTTTAGGAGTTAGGAAATTTTCCTGTTGCATTCTTAAATTTTTATAGATCTCTACCTAAAACAGATATATTATTTTTTGTAACATTCATCATATTTTGTTTAGTGCCCACTTTGCGCAGCACCTTTGCAGACGGTAGCACTGTGGGGTTACAAAGATGAATGAGATATAGGTCTCTGCCCTCTAGGAGTTTTCTCTTGGTCTCTGGAGACAAACCTGTGTCAGTGAGCTAATGCCAGCCAGTGAGGAGTGTGGACTGTTATCCTGGCTAGCCTCCAGTGTCTACATGGAACCATTGATATTATTAGCCTTAGGCTCCTTCTTGGCGCAGGAAAAGGAGTGGTACTTGGGGGTTCTGATGCAGAGGTCAGTCCTAATCGATGTGTATGTGTGTGTGTACATATATGGATAGTAAGGTTATTGAGACAGTTGAAGTTCACCTGGTATTTATTTTTTTTACTGGACAAGTAATTACTTAAATGTTTAAATAACATTGTTACTTTTCCCCATAGTTTGTTAGTTTACACAAACATTTGAATTTGAGAGAACTACCTGAGAGATTTGTTTCCTTCTTCCCTCCCTTCCTCCTTTCTCCATATATATTTAAATATATGTGTGTGTGTATACATATATATACATATGTGTGTGTATATATATATATATATATATGAAATTTAACAGAGTATGTGCTTCATCTAGAAACCTTATGTCTGTTCACAAGTGAATTTTGATTTGCTTAACAAATTGTATCACCAATACAGAGTACTGTGTTTCTGGTTAAGGGTCGATGAATTTTAGGCCTGTGTTTTATAAACATGGCAACAGGTTGCAGACTCTTTCATTACTTGTAGCTTGATCTTTGTATTATAGGCTTGCTGATGTGAGATGAGCCTACTTGGTTCCTGTCTTCAAATAGTAAGGAGTAGAAAGTTTGTCTGGTCAGAATTTTGCTTCTCCTTTTCGATTAATCATTCTGTGATGACATTCTTTTGCCAAGTTTGGCAGATATTAGAAGTGGTTATGAACAGTGTCCTAAGTGTGTGAAAGGAAAACTTTGAAGAACAAATCAGCTTGTGGTTTTTTAAAAAAAGATATTCTTTCTTTGCAGTGGTTAAAACTCAACATGAAGGTGCTATTTCAAACAGCAATTATTCCAGTGATGCTTTTTTTTGTAGTGTGAGAGAGCAAAGACTTGAAGTGGGAAAACTCAGGATGTTCATTGTAAATTACTCATAATGTGATTATTAATCATTAATACTTAATGATTAATAATGATTTTTGAACTCATTTAACAGGTTATGTTTTTTTGGAGACAAGTTTCGCAAGCGTTCATGGCCACACAAACATAAAGGTTTTTAATTCCAATGTGTAAAATGGACTTGGTGGTGAAACAAATTGATGAGAATGTCTTTGTCTTTACAGTGGCAGGAGAGCACATATAGAGACCACTTATAGATAACAGAGTACAGTGAAATTTAATGTTCTTGTGCCATTTACTTTAGTGGGAGTCATCAGGGAACCTGAGGTCTTGGTTACTTTACCAGGTTGTAATTGTGTTTTATGATCCATACCAGTTAAAGGTTTTACACCAAGATGAATCTCCATGGAATTATACTGGCTGAAGTCAGCCAATCCCAAAGGTTACATATCGTATGAATTCATTTACATAACATTATTGCAATTACAAAATTGTAAACATGGAGAACAGATTAGTGGTTGCCAGGAGTTAAAAGAAGTGGAGAGGGGAGCAGAAGGAGACTGGTATGGCTATAACACAGCAACATGAGGATTTGTGTGGTGGTGGAAATATTCAGTATCTTGACTGTATCAATATTAGTATCCTGTTGTGATACTGGACTATAGTGTTACAAGATGTTACTGCTGGGCAAACTGGGGATATGGTACAAGAGATCTTTGTGTATTATATCTTCCAACTATATGTGAAACTATAATTTATCTTAAGTAAAAAATTTAACTTTAGTTAAGGTTTTACAGTATAGCATCTCAAGAGTACCTTTAGGCCAAATTATTTGCTTTATAGTTTTTCTCTAATTAAAGCTGATTATATGCGCTTTTTAAAAAGCTGATTATACTCTTAAATGAAAACCACTGTTTCTAATTTCAAATTTCCCTTTTTCTGTTTTGATGGGGATTATATGACACATTCGTTTCTAATCTGTTTCCTCCAAGGAAAAAGGACAATGCCAGCTATCTAGTGAGTCTTCCTAACGGCAGGTGTAATAGAATCTACTGCTTTAATTGAAAAGAGAAGAGGCCCTTGGTTGTGGGTGGGGATAGTCATGGGCTCTAATATAGACCTTCGCTGGTATCAGTTCACCATTTCTAAGAATGCTATAAGTGTCCTACAAAGTATATACAAAAGTAGCCAGTAACCACTCCCTGGCCTGGCAACTCTGTATTGTTTGTGCCTTTTGCAGAATCTCACTGGCCTTTCTGGAACCTAGTCCTATCTGGTCCCTAGGGATGTGCCAAGCACTCCTAGCTGCTGGGTATCCCCTCCATCTCCTGCACCTTTTTAATCTAGTACGGTGTCTGGCACATAGTAGGCCTTCAAAGGACATGATCTCCTCCTTTTCTGTGTCTCTGCTTCTCATTCTTCCAACCCTCAAAAAGAGCCTACTTGTAACTTAGGTTTGAAAAGGATATAGAATTTTGCAGTGAATTTAAGCATAACAAAGAAGCAGTGCTACCAACTGCTAAAGCTTTCAGAGCAACATTCATGATGGATTGAATGTTAGCATTTTTTTTCTATTCCATTTCCTATTTCATTTTCATTTAGTGAATTCAGAAAATAGTTCAATATATACTGTAGTCAGAATGGAAGGATGAAAGAGAAACAAGTCATTACTCTCAAGAAACTTAGTTTCCTAGGTATGAGAGTCAGAGAAACAAGTAACTAAATAGCATTTGCAACCTCAAATGGGAACTGGAACCAGGCAGGCACCTGAGTGAATGAAATGGGACTGTGTAGGAAAAACAGCACAGGGATGATGGTAAATAAATCACAGCAGTGTCATAGATGACAGCTGCCTTAGTGTTGGGAAGGCCACAAGGAAAATGACCTGTAATGTGGTCCCCACCACTCACCCCCATGCCCACCTGGTAACAAAGTCCTATGGTTATTTTCAAGATTAGTAAGAAACATAAAAAAAAAAAAAAAAGGAGAGTAGTAAGCAATCTGGATTTTTAGATATAACCCCCAACTTCTGAAAGGTCACATTTAATTAAAAATTTTGTTTCAGTACTATGAGCCAAAGAGAAAAGGATGTTACATGATACAGAGAGGTATAGGAAGGAACCCACAGTTAAGATGAGGGGTTAGGGAAGGCTTCCTGACTCAGTGACATTGAGTTGACTTTGGAGTGTCAGAACAGTTAGCTGTTTGGTAGGTGGAGAGTGGGTGGTAGAGAGGGAAAGGCCCTTCAGGCTCAGTGGATGTATGATTTCCCGGGTCCGAGACAGAAAGTGTATGACCGATTGGATAATTGGGTAAGTGCTGACCAGGCTTGTGGGATAATCACATTACATCACTGATCCCCTTTTAACTTTTATGGACTTTGATTTTACAGTATTTCTTTTTCTTCTTTAAAATAGGCTTTATTTTTTCAGCAGTCTTAGGTTCATGGCAGAATTGAGTACAAAATACAGAGAGTTTTCATCTCTGTTCCTCACCCCACCTTTCTTCGCTGTCGATATCTTGCACTACACTGGTATATCCAATGAACCTATATTGACTTGTCATTATCATTCAAAGTCCATGGTTTAGCACTAAGCTTCACTCCTGGTGCACATTGTGTGGGTTTTGACGAATGTGTAATGACACATATCAGGTATTGTAGTATTACACAGAATAGTTTCACTGCCTTAAAAATCCTCTATGCTCTTTCTGTTCTTTCTTCCTTTCCCAACCCCTTGCAACCTACCGAACTTTTTACTGTCTCCAAATTTACCTTTTCCAGCATATCATATAGTTGGAATTATACAGTATGTAAATATAGACTTTTTTAGGCTGACTTCTTTCACTCAGTAATGGTATTTAAGGTTCCTCCATGTCTTCTCATGGCTTTTTAATGATGGGTAATATTGCAATATCTGAATGTTCCACAGTTTATCCATTTACCTGCTGAAGGATATCTTGGTTACTTCCAAGTTGTGGCGGTTATGAATAAAGCTGTTACAACCATCCATGTGCAAGTTTTTATGTAGA